CCAGTAACTTTCTTTCTTTCTTTCTTTCTTTCTTTCTTTCTTTCTTTCTTTCTTTCTTTCTTCGTTATAAATACCTAAAAAAATAAGCGCCTTCTTGAAGTCTCGTTTTAGTTTTTCCCTCAATACAAACTTGATAAGAACAAAACAAGTGTAGCGAATAGAATTTCATTCTTCCCTTTGCTCTTTCATTCTGCCTGATGATGTCTTTGTTGTTTCAAGTGTAAACAGATGAATATACCATTCCAAAGACTGTTAAGATTTTCTGAAATTAAATCATTTCATTGTTCTGCAAATGGCATTGATTAGCGTCTTCACCTTTCGTTGCCTTTTAACGAAATGCTTGTTTAGAAAGAAAGTGTTCATTATCCACCACATCTGCTTTAATTATGTCCACACCATTGTTTCATGGGGTTTATTACTTAATCATCTGAGATAATGTGTTTTCATTATTTGCCACATGTTTTTCTTATAATTGTCCACACCTCTTTCTGTTACTTTATTAAAAGCTTAAATATTTCAGGTAAATTGTTTTCATGGCTTCCACATCTTTTTATTGGTATCCTCATATTTTTATTGCTTCATCATTTGAGTGTATTTTCATCATTCCAAACGTCTGTTTGATTAGTATTTTCATCTGTTTGTTGAGTTTTATTGCTATATTTTTCAGAAACTGTATTTTCCTCTTTTCAAACGTCTTTTTTATTAATGTCCCCATCAGTTTGTTGAGTTTTTATTGCTATATTTTTGACAAACTCTATTTTCATCATTTCAGACGTCTTTTTTTCTTATTGCATCCATGCATTTGTTGAGTTTTTATTGCTATATTATTGACAAACTGTATTTTTATCAGTTCAAACCACTTTTTTTTATTAATGATCCCATGTGCTTGTTGAGTTTTTACTGGTATATTTTTGACAAACTCGATTTTCATCATTTCAAACTTCATTTTTATTAATGTCCCCATCTATTTCTTGAGTTTTTATTGCTATATTTTTCTCAAACTCTATTTCCTCACTTCAAACGTCTTTTTTCATCAATGTCGCCATTTGCTTGTTTTATTTTTATTGCTATATTTTTAACAAACTGTATTTACATCATTTGAAACATTTTTTTATTAATGTGCCCATCTATTTGTTGAGTTTTTATTGCTATATTGTTGACAAACTCTATTTTCATCAGTTCAAACGTCTTTTTTTATTAGTGTCCCGTCTATTTGTTGCTTTTCCGAAACCCCTTTAACTCGAGCCACATTTGCTCTATATAGACATATTATACCTTTTTGGAATCAGGATAAGCCCGGGATTGATAATCTACCCTTCATCTTGTGCTTGAACATCCAACATCTGGATTTGTGTTCGGATGAGGAGGGAACAGTTGAAAATTCAAATTTATCATCTTTATATATCTCAATAAGCGTCAGATTCTGTCTGTCCGTCTGTGCAGCTGAAACCCGTCTAAATCGGGTCACACCTTCTCTACATAAATATATTATACATTTTTAGAATTAGGATGATCCCGGGGTTGATAATCTGCCCTTCATCTTGTGCTTGAACATCCAACATTGGAATATGTGTTCGGGTGAGGAGGGAACTGTTAAAATTCAAATCTATCATGTTTATATATCTCAATAAACGTCAGATTCTGTCTGTCCGTCCGTGTAACAGAAGACCCTCTAAATCTCCTACTCTTGCTCTACATAGACATATTATACATTTTTGGAACCAGGATGAGCTCGAAATTGACAATATGACCTTCATCTGGTGCTTGAACATCGGGGATTAGGGTTTGTGTCTTTATGAGGAGGAAACACTTAACAAATTATGTCTTATATTTTAAATTTAGTGGTTTTGAAAGTTTTTAATTTATATTGAACTAGCAATATGGCCCGTCGTTGCCCATGCTTGATTCAAAAATCGTACGACTCATACAACAATCGCTATTACTAGAGTTAAAATAGTTTTGCCCTTCCTTGCCTTTAAAGGAGTGCCCTTTTTCGTGCTGATGTTGCTACATGCCTTACTTCTTGCCTATCTCACACTGCGATTTTTTTTCTAAGTTCTATACTAAACATTAAATCTGTTACGAAAAAAGAGCTAAACAAAATGAACACAAAACGATCAGCTTTAAAAAAAGGACTCGTAACTGGAAAAACCAAATGAAAAAAGAATGTTAACAGCAAATACTTTTTCACACCTAAAACCAGTTCTGCGGAATCAGAATCAACGTTGAGTTTAAGCAAGCGAATGAGCCAATTGGAGTAAAGTGCCATACAGATTTAATTTTTTCCCCACTTGTTAACATTTTAGTTAACATTCGTGTCATTCAGTTGTTGGCTCTCACGCTGGCCAATAGAATCTTCCTGCCTATTCGTGGCAGCCAGCTATTGGCTCTCACTCTGGCCAGTAGAAAATGGCCGCAAACTACATGAAAACTGCAGTAGAAGCATGAAAAAATCGATTATTTCCACTATCGATGGGAGTTGGGAAATGCAAAGTTGGTCTTGACCTTTCCACTAACTTGGAGCATGTGCATGTAAATTTTGGTGTAAATCCGTCGAAAATTGCGGCCGTGCATTCGTTACACACACACACACACACACACACACACACACACACACACACACACACACACATCCTGACTTTTATAGATAGAGATTTAAAGTAAGACAAAATCCTTATCAATTAAAGAAATGTTTTAAATTCAGTTAAAAATATCTCCAAAACTTTGTAAATTGAGGAAATCCATTTTATTTCTTCAAAATGCCAAGGAATCAGTGTTAAGGGTAAAGGTTTCGTGACGAGAGATTTTGAAGTTTGGAGTTTGCGATTTGAAATAAAGTTCTTCGGAGTTTACGATTTGAAGAACTCAATTTTAGTTCCAAATCAGACATTCGGCCCAAATCGGTTCGGATTTGGACTGATAACCCGAATCAGAATTAAATTGATGTTTTGATGTTCCATGAAGTCAACTGAGAAATTTGAGTCAAAAGTCTCATTGCTGTTTTTCTAAGCTGGACCAGAGGTCACTAATGTTTTGGATCGAAGGCCCAGTTATCCCCTTAAAAGTCAGCACAGAGTGCAGATTTAAACCTGGCTTGGCTTGTAAACAATCTAGAAATATCTGTGAAAATGTCACAGTTCCCCTATTTGAATTTTTTGATGAATCTTAATTTAGCGATTGAATGAGCACCTTGCAAGTTCCACAACTTTTTGACATCAGTTATGTGCCTTGTGTATCACACATGGCACATAACATAGGCGATCATGTATCTTTCGGTACATGACATTTTTCCCGCAGTAGGTTACCATTTTTTCTGTGGTAGCGCTGTTGCTATTCAAGGCTATAGAACCTGCTAGAAGAAGCGGATACGTAAGTGAATGTTATGGATTCCACTGGAATTCGAACTCGGCTCTCCGATTCCTCAATCCTAGCCGCTATTCATTACAGAGACCTACGTGCCACAAGGTCCCCAAACGGCCCTCCGCAGGTTTTGAATTCAGAGTTTTTACATCCAAGAGAACCCAGTCTGTCCTGCTATAGGGAGAAGAAGAGGATTCACACCTTTCCCAAGGGTATTAGCACGTAAGTGAATGGATTCGACTGGAATTCGAACTCGGCTCTCTGATTCCTCAATCCGAGCCGCTATCCATTACTCCACCGTTACCATTTTTTTGATGGATTTAAAAAGAGTCATTTCTCAAGACAGGGTGTTTTTTATTATTCTATTAAAAATCCGTTGGCTAAGATCAGAACAAATTTACTGATCTATGAATAAATATGATTCTTTATCTGAAAACAATAATTAGCAGGAATAATGTCATCTAACTATTAATTGGTACTTGCAATACTCATGAAAATTTCACAGCTTTCCTATTTGAATTTTATTTTAAATATTTATTCATTAGGTTAATAAAGTTAATGAGTTCATTGAATATAAAAAAACAAACATAAGGAATAAATATTTGAGCTTAACAACTTTAACTAAATATTGTAATAACTTTCAAAAGTAGAACTACATGTCATTATTTAAATAAATAAGAGGGTATACAGAAAGAATGCAAATTTGACAGTATTTTCAATTTCACTGAAGCAGACGTTACTATAGCCACCGCTATCTTCCTTTTCTTTCTACCTCTCATTTATTCTTACCCTTATTACCTTTCTTTTTTTACTTTACTTTACTTTTCTTTTCTTTCTTTCTTTTTTCTTTCTTTCTTTCTTTCTTTCTGTCTTTCTGTCTTTCTTTCTTTCTTTCTTTCTTTCTTTATTCGCTCCTTCCTTCCCCAAAACCAAACAGAGCCTTTGATATATTCGTTTTTTTTTGGGGGGGGGAGCAATCTATTATAAATTTATCTTCGTAATCGAACAGAAATGGTTCATTGTTTATATGAGGCAATGGCAGGATGTAATGTACACGCTGACTGACTAAGAAGCAGAATAATAATTTGATAAATGTCCTGACGTTTACACGAGGCAAAGCTTGCATGGCTTTTAAGCTACACATTATTTCTTCGTGAATTAAGACTGACTAAAGAAAAATACGCAAATGACCCGGTGTTGATATAGAAAAGAAGCTACAAGAAATCCTACAGAAGATAGCAAAGGAAAGCGGGAAGAAATGACTAAACATCAAATTGCAAGAAGAAAGAATGCTCGTTGGCTAGCAAAAGGGATCAATCCAACATGCAAATTACAAATCGGGGATAACATAATCAAAGAGGTGCAATAATTTAGATATCTGAGAAGCGTATTAACAGAGGACGGAAAATGTGACATGGAAAGCACATTGGAATAGCGAAAGATGTCTTCCAGAAACTGGACAAAAAATATTCAGAAACAGATAAATATCATTATAAGCAAAAAAAAAAACGAAACCAAGAAAAAAACAAAAAACAAAAAAACGAGTACTGAACTGTTATGTAGTATTAATTCACCTAGATAGTATCATGAACAATCTCCTCACAGTTGAAGAATAGACTTGAATCAACAAAAATGTAGTTCTACATAAGGATACTGAGAATACCATGGGGCAAATACATACTTGTGTAAATTAATTGAAAACATCCGAATGAGGAGAAGAACGAAGAGGATTTGAAGAAGAAGAAGAAGAAGAAGAAGAAGAAGAAGAAGAAGAAGAAGAAGAAGAAGGAGGAGGAGGAGGAGCAAAAGAAAAAGAAAGAGGTAAAGAAAAAGATGAAGAGAGCTGGAAAGAAGAAAGAATTAAAGGATGAAAAGACTTTAAATATGAAGGAGACAAGGTGGAGATGATATAAGTGTGAGAGATTATAGGAGAAATAAGGAGGTGAATTTGGGAAGAAGAAGTAAAAGAAAATGGATTCGTGAAGGAGGAGGAGGGGGAGGATTGAAAAAAGAAGAAAAAGAAGGAGGATTAGAAGAAAAAGAAGTAGATGGAGGAGGAGGGTTATCTGCCCCTGCTATGCGTATAACCTGCCTCTTAACCTTACACTCTACCGTGATTGGCCCTCGAGCCTTGCCCTGGTTAAAATTTAGTATAAAACAAAAAAATAGTTACAGAAGAGAGTAGTAGTAGTAGTAGTAGTAGTAGTAGTAGTAGTAGTAGTAGTAGTAGTAGTAGTAACAGTAGTAGTAGTAGTGTTAAAAAAAAAACGAGGAGGCTGAATAGAAAAGGAAGAATAGAAAAAAACGAATAAGAAGAAAAAGGTGAAGGAGAAGAAGAGGAAGGATTAGAACTAAAAGAAATAAAAGAAAAACGAAGAGATATAACAGAAATAACACAATGTTGTAGGAGAAAATAGTAGTAAAAGATAGTAGTAGAAGTAGTAGTACTACTAGTAGTGTCAGAGGTAAAAATAAAATCTATATAGTACTAGAAAAAGAAGAAGAGGAAGAAAATAATGATGGCGAGTGAAATAGCTTTAATTGTAATTATTATGATAATTCTACCAAATAAATCGCTTGGATTACACTAGGCATCGCACTCCCACTTGTAATAAGAACAATTTCCGATACAACCAGCAAAGACCACCTGTTTAGCCTCGTGCTGTTTCTGGATAGCCACACAGATCATGGATGGCTACCACTTGAATCAAGGCAGCTGAAAATGGTAACGGACGAATATGTCAAGCGCCTACCAGGAATGGATAGTCTAACACAAGTAGAATGTTTAAGACCTGTCCGATAGAAATGTCGGACGGACTAAAGCCTAATGAAAAACACGCAGGTAATAACAATTATTATTTTAAAGATACATACGCCATTCTTTGATGACTTCATTAGACGCCATGTTTTTTCGTTTTCGTTTATATCTATTAAACATTGTTAAGTTTGCAAGAAAACGTCAGGAGATTGGTATGGGATGAGGATCGAACACGCTACGACAATAAAACTCGAATGAACTTGAAAATTATGGCTTTACAGTGTAACACAAACCAAATGCACACACACACACATATATATATATATATATATATATATATATATATATATATATATATATATATATATATATATATATATATATATATATATATATATATATATATATAGTCGACTCTTCCATCAAAATTCGACGTATGAGGGTCAAGCAGATCAGTTTCCAGGAAACCGACAGCCCGACACCGGCACATGAGATTTGATTATAGTGGTGAAAATTTCGTGCAGGACCATCCACACTTTTTGAAGGGCCGAATACAGAGACCTGGTGCACTGAATGCCACAAGGTTCCCAAACGACCCTCCGCAGATTTGAATTCAGAGTTGTCCTTCTCCTAGAGGAGTTGCCATCCAAGGCTATAGAACCCAGTCTGTCCTGATATTTTACCCATAGCTGGAGGGAGAGGAAGAGGATTCATACCTTTCCCAAGGGTATTATCACGTAAGTGAATGTAATGGATTCGACTGGAATTCGAACTCGGCTCTGCAATTCCTCAATACAAGCCTCTATTCATTACTCCACCGTGCCTCCTCGCATATATATATGTTTCATTAAAAACGACAGACAAGGTACTACAGTTAAGCTTTTTATTTAATTTTTCTTGTGTTCTGACAAGAGCTTTCTTTTCTGGACAAAGGGTGTGTAAGAACTGTCCAAATGTTTTATATTTCCGAGCGCTTTCGGCTATACCTTTAGCCATTATCAAGGATGATTCAATTTTTCAGCTTAATTGAGTGTGTGCGTTCTGTGTATGTCTTAGTGTGTGGTAGAGATGTTTTTAATTTCCGAATACGGTTTGCACATTATGGCTTTGTTCGTACTTAATATTGTTAAGAATTGGCTTTTTCTTTATTATTATTAAAGCTTCCATTATTTTTATTCTTTTTTTGCAGGTGGATGCTGTTAATATATTTGTGTTTTCTACTAGTATGTTTCTTATGGAGTCTGGTAAATTTGTGTTTGTGTTTAAATGGGTTCTAATATATCACTCCCTAAGAACCAAATAATAACACACGGACTTAACAGAGACACATCTCCTTTCCAGAAACCAATCAAAATGACCAAGGTAATTCAGAGCATGAATCCAACCAGCTCTTATCTTAAACAACAACTTAAAAGAGACTGTTTGACCAACATAAGGACTGACCAAAATTAATGATAAAAAAATTAAAAAAACAAAAACAAATGAAAACTACAGATAAAGTCAATTATTTCCATCAAGACATTCATTTCTATAGTTCACTGCTACTAACAAGCAGATTTTTCTCTCCTGATGATGACCATGCTGGTCGAAACTAGTCGAGGAATCTAATTGAAATAATATTAATATGCAACCCTGTGTATCTGAAGATTTTTTTTTTATTGTTCAATATATATATATAGCATGGTGGCGTAATGGATAGTGACTTGGATTGAGGAATCGGAGAGCCGAGTTCGAATTCCAGTCGAATCCGTTACATTCACTTACGTGCATAATACCCCTGTAACTGACAGAAACACCAAGAATCGAACCTGTGTCCTACACGGAATCGTCATATAGCCTGACGTATTATACCAGTTTAGCTGCAGAGGAGCATCTGGTTAGCATGGCTGATTTTACTGCTTTTAAACTACAAACTTCCTATGACTTCCCTCGAACGTCCATATCTGCTCGAAGCGTATCTTAATGTAAACAAATGACGTTACACACTATGAAATGGACAAAGTTCGACAATTATTTTAATATATTTTATTGTTATACGTTATTTATATAGACACAAATATTTAAGTAAATGCTCTGTTTTTATAATAAACAGTATTAACAACATTTACCGGCCTGAACGTCCGAGAAATTTTCATAGAAATTGTCATGGCAGGAATCCAACTTGTATCCTACTCGGAACCGTCAAATAGCCTGACGGGCTATACCTTTTTAGCTACGAAGGGTCATCTGGTTAGCAAGTTTATATATAAAATTTGTCGAATATTCTGCCCGGCAGCCGAAAATAGATAAATACCCTGTTTAATAAAAAAAAAAAATAAACTCTACTCAAATACGCTTATCCACTAAAATAATATTTAAGTAATAAAATCTGTCAGATTCATAAATAAAAATAACTTATTTTTTTTTTAGAAATTGCTTTGTTTACACTAGGATACGAAACTGTTTTCATCAATTTTGTTATTAAATATTATGAAAATAGGTCTACTAAGAAAAGATGACAATATATATATATATATATATATATATATATATATATATATATATATATATATATATATATATCTTCTTTCGCCCTTTACCCCGGAAGTTTTCTTTGGGGCGCCGATGTGCTGAGTTGTCTATCATTTTCGTCCATCTCTTTCGGTCTTTCTGCCAAAGGCTGGCTCTCCGCGAATGGTTTTATGGGGCGTATCTTGGATATTTTTACCTGGCGGAGACTATCCCTCTTCAGGTAAGCCGATGTCCTATAACTATGTGGCTCGTCTTAGTCGCAAACACGTGGCCAGTTACCTGCACCGGGGAGGTCATTCACCTTGTACTGCAGAGTTAAAACTTCGCACGCAAGTGAGTTTAGCCCGCCAGTAGAAACGGTTTACCGGGATATATATATATATATATATATATATATATATATATATATATATATATATATATATATATATATATATTATGTTATAAAGGAGAAATATATACACAGAATTAATTAGCAATGTTTATGTGATTAATGGCGAAATCACTTCGCTAGCAAGACTTAATGAGTCATTAATTACAATCAATTCTTTGAAATAATACAATCCTTATATTTGAGTTGTCAGATGGAATTAACGGGCCAAGTACGTTTGACAATCTGAAATTGTCATCTTCAGGGCGCAATTTTTCCATACACATATATTAAGTCCTGTTAGCGAAGTGATTTCGCCAGCAATCACATTAACATTGCCATTTGATTCTTTGTATAAATTGGTTCTTTATAATATATGCTGCATACACTAATATATATATATATATATATATATATATATATATATATATATATATCACTCACTCCCTAAGAACCAAATAACACACACACAAACACTTAACAGAGACACATCCCTCTCCAGGACCAATAAAACTGTCAAACTGACCTGGGGAATTCAGAGAAGCATAGATCCATCCAGTCATGTCTCAAATAACAACTTAAAAGAGACTGTTTGACCAACACAAGGAATGTTAAAAGATTCATGATAAAAAGATAAAAAAAATATAAAAAAAACAAATGAAAACTACAGACAAAAGTTCATTTTCTCCATCAAGACATTCATATCTGTAGTTTACTGCTACCAGCAAGCAGAAATATTTCTTCTCCTGATGATGGCCATTTTGGCCGAAACTAGTCGAGGAATCTAAATGAAATAATAATAAAAAAAAACGAAAGAATATTAATATATTAATCTATAACCCAATGTGTCTGAAGATTTTAATTTATTAATATTTTTATTGTTCAATATATATATATATATATATATATATATATATATATATATATATATATATATATATATATATATACAAATGAAGAGAAAGAACAAACAGATTTAGAATCCAATGTTGTTTTAGCATTTCATTTTTTTAAAGTGCTCAATACAATAATATTTTTAATGATATTTGTATTTAAAAATATTTCACATTGCGATACGGAACAATGTTACCTATCATTGCCTGATGACAGGATAAAAATGTAAAATATTTTTAAATAAAAATATCATATTATCTATCTATCTATCTATATATATATATATATATATATATATAATTCAAAGAAAGAATTCAAGAAAGACATTCGGATTACTAACACCAAAACAGAGAATGTCTCATATCGAGAATATTTAACATCGAAAATCATAAGGAAAAAAATTAATTATTTTTAATATGTGGAAATCTCCGCCTTTTACCTGAAGACGGTCGCGAGACCAGAAACACGTGTAGTAAAATTATGTAAAACAAAGCATAATATTTTTTTCTAAATAAATCCACATTACAACCAAAAACGTTTGCGGCACCTCTCTTCTCTTCTTTTTAATATACATACTTTTCTCTCGTTGGAACCACTAAAATCTTTCTTATATATATATATATATATATATATATATATATATATATATATATATATATATATATATTATACTGAATGTCGGAGTGTACAGTTCGTCATCAAATGGATCACTATAAGTAATATTATTTCTAATTTACTTACAAGGGAATCTTCAAATGCTTTTTACCTAAGATTAAATTTGGCATTTTTTTATGGACGGAGCAAGACGACTTGATTTCAATGGTGATTAAATGAAAATTAAAGGTGACTCTGAAATAAACCTCGAATTCCATGGCTAAATACGATGGGTAGTGGTCATGTTAGGAGGCGGGGTGAAGGGTCCGAGCAAAGCCGAAGTCAGTAACTTGGGATGGGTGTTAGAGTGAAGTTGGGGTGGGTGAACAGTCCGGATCTACTTACGGTCGATAAATAAAAAAAAATGTTAAATGAATAAAATTATAAGCAAATGTTGCTAAAAAAACGTTTGACTAATAAATGATATGGAAGGAAATCGACGATACAATCAGAGACAAACAAAACAAACATGACAACTCGTATTGCTTTTCCTACAATTTCG